ACCAGAATGTTTGCCCTACAGTATAACATGGGGGTGGATGGTGATGATTGGGGTTGTTTTCAGTGAACACCAAATGCAAATGTGTGAAGGTGATGACCAGTCAGCTAAGAGCGAACTTTAAACAGTCTGCTTCCATCAGCTGCTTCCATCAACTCTTTCCGCCTCGAATGACATGGATTTTTCAGTTAAAGCCTGGAATGGAGAACAGTAACATTCGAACCATCAATCACCAGATGGAACATCATGCAAACCAAAATGGAGAACCACAAAGCCCCCAAAACAGCAAGATTTTTGTTTGAGTTTTGCAACAGGAATGGGCTGCTGTGACAAGCAAGAACAATGTCGAGGACTGTGAGAGCATGGCCAAGACGCATGCGCTGCAGTCAATAACAACGTTAATACAATGGATCAATAACAATGGATCATAACAATGGTCAATACAAATGGTTAAGTAACAAACAGATCAATTAACATGGTTCAATAACAACGGATAATAACATGGATCAATAACAATGTTCAATAACAATGGAAATAACAATCGGTTCAATAACAATGGATCAATAACAATGGATCAAGTACAATGGATGAATAACCAATATTCCATAACAACGGATAATAACAATGGTTAATAACAAACGTTAATAACATGGATCAAAACAATGTCAATAACAGGTTTCAAATAACAACGTTCAATTACAACGGATCAATAACAACAATCAATAACAACGATCATAACAACAGATCAATAACATGGATATAACAACAGATTAATAACAATGGTTCAATAAAACAGATCAATACAACGGATCAATAACATGTTTAAGAGACATGTACTGCCTAAAAGCAGCTATGTTTGTTTGTAGGCTTCTCCAGGCTTCCTCCTAACCAGTAAGTTGGCTGGAGTGGGCATCAACTCAAAATTGGATTCATCACTGAAGAGAACCTTAGCCCAATCATCAACAGTCCAATCCTTGTGATCCCTAGCAAAGAGTAACCGGGCGTTCCTCTGCCTTTCGTTGATGAAGGGCTTCTTCCGTGCCCTGTGTGACTTCAGACCAGCTTCAAGAAGTCGGTTTCGAACTGTCCTTGCTGAACAAGTCACATTTCTCCACAGTGCCCACTCATTTTTAAGGTCCCTGAAGGTCTGACGACGATTCCTGACACAGGAACGGATGAGTGCACGGTCATCTCGTGGGATAGAAAGACGTTTCCTGCCTCGACCAGTTAGCAATTTGGTAGTACCATGTTCGGCTTGCTTTTTCTTGGTGTAATGAACGGCTGTCTTGGAGATCTTCAGTTTTTTGGCTACCTGTCTCTCACTCATGCCAATTTCCAGCAGTGCCAAGATGGCTGCCTTTGTGGCTTCACATAATTCCTTTTTTTTAGGCATTATGTGAGAGCTGACAACTTCTGAGTTGTGCTACGGCTTGAATGTAAGCAGGAAACCACTCTAGGCCTTTGCATGTGCAGTGCTGCTTATGACATGAAATGCCCTCTTATATACCCTGGGAATACAATTAAGCTTAAGCATGTCAAATAGGACATAAAGTATTATGGAATCAGCTGCATTTTTTGTCGTGTTCATTTCATTCTTCAGGTAATATACCTTTAGTGGTACCAGGCATTAAAATGAACAAGAAATTGAAGAAAACAAGGGTGGTCTAATAATTTTTTCCATGACTGTATATATACTGGCGAAATTCGAAAGATTCCGTTCGACCAATCAGAACGTGGTAGAGGAAAGAGGGGGAGTGTGGATCATTACGACGAACCTAGTTTGACAATAACGTGAAAATTGAACATTAATTATCTGAGAAAAATGTTTAGGATTACTAATACAATGTTTTATTATTTTCAGAAATGAATGTATATGTGTCTGATAATTTATTTTAGCTAGAAGAAACGATATAGCCTAACCCCTCAACCCAAACATTAAATGGTTTGGTCATACCAATCTGCAAACCCTGTAATTTGTCATTAAAAAAACAACCAGAAATAGAATTTCAATATAAATGTCGTATTGACTGCTTTAATTATAAATGTGATGGATTTTTAAGTAATTTAGTACCATGAACTCAAAAGCGCTGAACAGTAATGAAAAAGTACACACAACCACAACCTGACATATAATGAGATGGTTTAAGTACATTAAATATTATTATTAATAAAATTGCAGGGGGTTCACGTGATGGCGGTGAGCTGAGCAGACGCTTTTGGCAGAGCTCCGTGCCACTCGGTGCTAATTTTCCTGCACCGAGTGGCGCTGCAAGACATTTTTGTTATGAATTATATGTTATATGTTATAGTTCATGTGTTTAGCTCAGGACATGACAGGTGTTTAAGATTTATGTGGGGTATCAGCGTGGCATTTTCTATTCCTGTTAAATGTATCTGATAATGTGGGTCAAGGGATGTACAGGATGAGTGTAGGTGTAACCAGCTCTAACTTTTTTATCCTGCCCTTATGGCAAATAGTGTCTTACGGCCATGTCTGATTTATATAATATTAAGATTTGTTCTTGGAACATCCGTGGCCTCCACAAACCTGCCAAGAGGACGGCAGTATTATCATTTTTGAAAAAGGAAAGTGTCTCTATTGCGTTTCTCCAGGAGACTCATCTGGAGGACAAGGATAATGCTAAATTGCAGAGGAGCTGGGTGGGGCACGTCTTTGCTACTTCATATTCTTCTTTCAGTAGGGGCGTAGCCATTCTGATTAGTAAAAAGCTGGCATTTAGGCCTCTTGATTGTGTTAAAGACAGCCAGGGCCAGTATATAATTATTAAAGGAATACTTGCAGGAAAAGAGGTAACATTTATGAATCTATATTGTCCCCCAGCCTATTCCCCTGATTTTCTCTCCAAGGCTTTTGCAGTTTTTATGGAACGGGCTTCTGGGGACTCTTTTGTGGGAGGAGATTTCAATTGTCACCTTCAATCCCTCTCTTGTTAAACTTCCATCTGGAGCATTTCTCCCCCTTCTAGCAAGCAAGCGTGCTTACTAATATTAATGTCATGAGTATTGAAATATTCTGATGTGTGGAGGCAGCTTGCACCGCGCACTACTGATTCAGAGTTGATCTTTTTTTTGGCCCCACATAAAAGCTATACCAGAATTGATTACATTTTCATCCCCTCCTCAAAAATGTCTCTTGCTTTATCATGTTCTATAGGCAACATTGTGTTATCAGACCACGCCCCCCTTTATTTGGTATATTCTCTTGCTGAGGACAGGGCATTGTCACAGTGCTGGAGATTCCAACCTTATCTTCTCAAAGACAACAAGTTTATCTCCTACTTTACTTCAGAATTTAAGATTTTTTATTCTATCAACTCACCATCCACAGATCCCTCTGTCCTCTGGGAGACGTGTAAAATATACTCTTGTGGACTGATTATGTCTTTTGTAGCGTCCAAAAGACGTGGGAAAAACGAACAGCGTAAACTTCTTGAATCTCGACTAGCGGAATTGGAGAAAAATCACATATCTAACCCGGGTCCTGATTTGCTTAAGGAACTGTTACACGCACGTGCTGCATTGAATACTTTTCTGAATCAGGACTCTGAACAGTCCTTTAAATTTGCCAGGCAGAAATTATATGAGTTTGGGGATAAACCTGGCAGATATCTTGCTAGTCTTGTCATGATGAGGGCAGATTCTCAAAATATAGTCTCTATTACTAACTCTAATGGTGTTAGATCGTTTGATACCAGAACCATTAATAAACACTTTGCATCATTTTATTCCAATTTATATAGTGCCAAACAGCCTGATGATGCCCTGGCCCTTATGCGTCAGTTTTTTGCAGATTTGAGACTCCCCAAAGCTACAGATGATCAAAAATTACAACTAAATGCCCCAATTACCAGAGAAGAAGCGCTATTTGCTTTGAAATCTATGCCGTCCGGTAAGGCCCCAGGGCCAGATGGATTTGGATGTGAGTTTTATAAGGAGTTTAGTGGTATTATTTTAGACCCTCTGCTGTCTATGCTCAATCATTCATTTGAAAATGGGATACGTCCTCAATCTCTTAGGGAGGCCAACATCTCTCTCATTCTTAAAAAAGGAAAATGCCCGGATAGCTGCGCCTCATACAGGCCAATAGCTCTACTTAACTCTGACCAAAAACTGTTCTCAAAAATTTTGGCCTTACGTCTAGAGAAGGTTCTGCCCCATATTGTCAAGGAGGACCAAACTGGTTTTGTCAAGGGCCGGAACTCCTGTGATAATGTGAGGAGGCCCCTTAACATCATCCAACTAACCCAGAGCTGCAAGGACCCGGCCCTTGTGCTGTCTCTCGACGCCGAGAAGGCATTCGACCGGGTCGAGTGGTCGTATTTGTTCTATGCTCTGGAGGAATTCGGCCTGGGTGATAATTTTGTGAATTGGATTAGGGTTCTGTATAATACTCCGACGGTGGCGGTTCTGACTAATGGGCTGAGATCCGACAACTTCCCCCTCCACCGGGGGAATAGGCAGGGCGACCCCCTTAGCCCTCTGCTCTTTGATATTGCTATCGAGCCGCTGGCCCAGGCAGTAAGGCAAAACACTTTAATTTCTGGTATCTTTGTTGGTGAAAGGGAACACAAAATTACTTTATACGCGGATGACATTTTGATACATTTATCGCGACCCCAAACTTCTGTTCCCTGCCTGATTAAGGTAATTTCGTCATTCAGCGTCTTTTCAGGATACAAAATTAACTTTGCAAAATCCGAGGCTATGCCCCTGGGGTCGTTAACATGTGTTCCAGATATGGCTGAGCCCTTCCCATTCCGCTGGTCTCCCACCGGTTTCATTTACTTAGGAGTGCATGTTACACCCACTTTTGGTCAGATATTTAAGTCCAACTCCCCCCCCCCTCTTGGATGCTATAAGGGCAGACTTAGACCGCTGGGCCCCTCTCCCTCTTTCCTGGCTAGGTAGGGTTGCTCTCATAAAAATGAACGTCCTGCCTAGACTGCTATACCCACTGCAAATGATCCCTATCTTATTATCCAGCAAGGTTATTAAGGTGCTTGAAGGCTGGCTAAGCTCC